AACTATATGTAGTTAACCACATTTACACATCATTCAAAAGAGACAATAAAAAAAGCTAAGAAGGAAACCAAAAGACCAGAACACGTGTCTCCAGCAGCCAACACCCAGATAAACAGGGATTGACACCAGACAAGTAGTCAAGCAGAAAACAATACCCCAATCAAGGGACTACCAAGGAGAAAACCACTCCCCCACCAACACTGGCAGGGCAGGCTGCTGCATATAAACAGGGAGCAAACCCCACACTCACGAGCACTGATGATGTTCCTTAGTTGGGTAACCAAACGTCTGCAAGCAAACAAGCAAGCTCAGAGAGCACCGAGGACTCCATAGTTCAAGCCTGAGCTACAGAGATTCTCTTCTATTGAGATGATAGATGGTAAATAGATGATAGATATAGATGGTAGATACATGATGATATAGATAGATATGATAGATGGATGATCAATGACCAATCCATAAAACACATCGTATACATAAAACCAATATTGATTGATTGATTGATTGATTGATTGATTGATTGATTGATTGATTGATTAGGTGAGTAAATCAATCAAACTGCTGTGCATTTTGCATATCACATGAGAAAATTTGGCCACACTTAAAGAGAAAAATGACTTTATCCAGATAGTGGCCTTTAACGAATGGTGCCAAAACAGATACAACTAGCCGTTTATCTACTGATGCTGATGGAAGAACTTGGCATTGATTTTATTAGAGTCAGAATTACCACAAGGGTAATTCAGTGTTGCACACTCGGCTGGAGCTACTGGGGTACAACCCACAGAAGCAGCTGCAATGCAGGTCTTGGAATGACCAAGATGAGAACAGGGCAAGCAAGGTTTTTCTGGCGGGTTGCATCCATCATTAGAAAACCACCCTGTCCTTCATTGCAAAAGCTAACCCCTAAGAGTTCATGAATGCCAAGCCTAACAGACAGAAGTAAGTGGGGAATTGTTACAAGACAAAACATAAACCTTTTGTTTCTGACTTCATTAGTCCATTGTTGGTTTTAAGAGAAGGTGATAGCTGTCATTGGGCAGAGGACAAATTTCATGCTGTAATTCGGTTCTGTTTTTTGTAACCCTGGATTCTATTGTTTCTTCAAATACAATTTTAAAAAGCAAACTTTGGTTGTCTGAATTCTCGTGTACATTTCCTTTCTTGGCTTTTTTTCTGCAGCTATATGTATGGAAAATAGCTTCTACTTTTTGATATAGTTTGGTGGTTATTCATTTAGATAAAATAGTGTGAGAGAAATGTATGTAGAGAAAGCATTTTAAGAGACAGCATTTTCAAGCTACAGTGTTACCTCGGTTCACGAATTTAATCAGTTCCACATTCTGGTCGCGAACCGAATCAAATTTTCCCATAAGGTTCAATGTAAATACGGTTAATCTGTTCTGAACCATGTGTTTTCTTTAACCACAAAAATATGAAACAAAGCGCAGTACAGTAGGAAGAGAGAGAGAACACTAACATTGCTTGAGGCGACACCAAAAAGCTTCACAGCCAGTGTCTGTCTGTGACCGTGTTCTCGCCTAGAGGAAGCCACGACCACGAGTCAGAGCAGGGAAGACGGCCGCGGGTCATGTCCGTCACCCGATGCGGAATTCGCGAATGGAAGCAAAAATTTGCAACGCTGCTGTTCGCGAACCAAATTGGTCGAGAACAGAAGTGTTCGTGAACCAAGGTATTACTGTATTTATCAACAGAAAATGCTGTTGTGAGAAATCAATCTCTCTTGCTTATTGCAGAAAAAATAAAGAATTGGCTTACATAGATTATTTAAAAATAGATTTTACAGGATCTGGGTGATGTGAATATTTTCTTATCTCTTTCCCTGCCCCCTCCAGCTGGATCCTAAATCTATATCGTTTTTCTGTATGGTCCTTTTCTTTTTCAAGGTGGGTAGAAATACATGTATATTCTGAATGATAACTCCAAAGAATATCTTGATAAAGACAAAAATGGCCACCAGCTTTCCTTCACATACTTCCTAGGTAACTGCGCTGAAATGATTCATGTGCGATAAGTGTGAAGAAGAGGGAATGGAAAAGCCAAAGATGCTCCCTGGACCATGGCTGGTCACTGCTAGAAGGGACATTTGCTGCTCAGTTAAAGAACCCGCCTGACTGATAGAACCTGGCTGCTCATTATATCTCTCAGGAGCCATTCAGGAGCATTTCTGCAAAGGTGAGCTGAGCTGATGGTTCAGGAGCTAAACAGCAGCAAAGATGTGGAAGGCACCCGAAAGTGGCTTTGCTTGGGGAGAGAAGGGCACCAAGCTTCTAAATGGGTGAGAGGACAGCATTAGTGGGGCCCTGCTCAGATAGAGGATGCCAAGGCGATGACACATGCTCATCAGAGCCAGTCAACCTTTGGCAGAGTTGGATAAACCCAATTTCCTACCCACTGTTGCTGTCAAGTCCCCAGTTTAGTATATTAAGGATAAAAACGTCCAAAAGCATTCAGGCAGATGAAAACAAAACTTTCTGTGGTGTTTCCAGTGTATGCTGAAGAGGGAATACTCTTGGGCCATACTGTCCAGCTTCCGATCTTCCCTTTGTGGGGAAGTTTGTGGAGGTGGTGATTGGACAGCAGCTACAGAGGATCTTGGAGAAAACAAATTGTTTGGACCTGTTTCAATCAAGTTTCAGACCAGAGTATAGTACAAAGGCAGCATTGGTCACGCTTGTCAATGACCTTTGGCAAAGCCGGGATAGGGTCTGTCCTTGTGCTCCTTGACCACTCAATGGTTTTGATGCCATTGACCACAGCATCCTTCTGGACCAGCTATGGGGGTTGGGAGTGACAGGCACTGTGCTGCTGTGGTTCACCACCTTCCCCAGTGGTCAGTCTCAGTGACAGGAGGGGAGAGATTGCACCTGTGGCCCCTCACTTGTGGGGTACTTCAGGGCATGACACTCTCCCTCCTCTGTTTAACATCTACATGAAACTGCTGGGTGAGGCCATCCGCCAGCTTGGGATTGGGTATCAATATGTTCAACCCTGGGCTGCGAGGTGATGCTGTCAGTGCACCGACCCAGTGTTTGGAGGCTATTTGGGTCTGGATGGGGAGGAACAGACTTCGGCTCCATCCTGACAGGACTGAGTGGCTGTGGCTGTTTGGCCCCCTTGGGTTGGAGACGTTTTCATCGTTGGTCTCGGATGGGGTTGCACTTCTCCATTCAAGATTGGTCTGCAACTTTGGGATCCTCCCGGACTCAAAGCTACTGCTCGAAAAGCAGGCAGCAGCTGTGGCAAGGGTGGCTTCTGCACAGGTTCATCTTGTGTGTCAGCTGCACCCTTTCTTCAGCCAGGAGGCCTTTCAGAGAGTCACTCATGCCCTGGACTTCTGCAAAGCTCTGTACATGAGCTGCTCTCGAAGATCATCTGGATCTACAGCTGCTTCAAAATACAGCAGCACAAGCAGTAACAGGCACTTCTCGTCGTTCCCGTGTGTCCCAATGCTACGCAAGTTGCATTGGTTGCAGTTGGCTTCCAAGTGCAATTCAAGGTGCTGGTTATCTACAAAGCCCCTCATGGCACAAGGTCTGGTTTTCGAGGGACTGCCTATCTCCATTTTTTTCTGCCCATGCAGTACATTTGGGCAGAGTGAGTGTACTCCAGGTCCCTTCAATTAAACATCATCTTCTGGAACCGAGGAAGCACACCTGTCGCAGCCCCTGCCCTCTGGAACAGCACCTCTCCAGAGATAGAGTACCTCTGGCACCCACTCTCTTAGGGTTCTGGAAGGCCCTTAAGACCTGGCTCTGTTCCCAGGCCTGGAGTTCATGTGTTAGTGGAGCCCCTGTCGTGTTCATTTTACTATTATGGTTGCTTTTTAGTCCAGTCTGTCATGTTTTGTTTCATGTTTTTAACTCTTTTAGCTTTGTATTTAGATTGTGTAAGCCATCCAAAGTCTATACAGCCATCATCATCATCGTCGTCATCTTCATCATCCCATTTCTACTTAACCATGGCTATCATTCCTTGATAAGAGGATTTCCCCTATTTGTCCCTGTCATGTTCCCTTCATCTCATTCTCTGTCCATGACCAAGGCCTTGTTAAGTCGTCTTTTGCTGTTATGGTTTAAAAATGTACTTCCTTCCTTGCTCTGACCCTGTCCAACAACAGTCTCAGGGTGTGTAAAATCAGATCTATTTCACCACCCATATGTAGGAAGCAAAGCCAGGTGACCAATAGTAGGTGCTTACTGGACATTTCAGAATGATACGGATGTGCCCCCATCCCTTCAGGAGGCACTACTTTTTCAACCATTTTGCTGTGGAGGAGCCCTAGAAATAATTTTCAGGTCTCGG